ACTGAAAACCTGTTATTCAAATAGATTTCTTTAAATTTCTACAACTCACAAAAATTCTGCCCAAATTTGGTGTACCTATATCTCTTTAAGGCTTACTCTATTTGTGATGCCTTCCATTCATGGTTTCTCCACAACTTTTTCTTCAATTATTCTATTTCTAACATTTTCAATCTCTTCTTTTAAATTAACACTTATTTCCCAGGGCTAGCCCTGTGGTGTAGTGGTTATGTTTGCACGCTCCGCTTCAGCAGCCTGGGGTTCACCAGTTCGGATCCTGGGCACAGACCTATGTGCCACTCATCAAGCCATGCTGAGGTGGCATCCCACATAGAGTAACTCAAAGGATGTACAACTACGACACACAACTATCTACTAGGACTTTGGGGAGAAAAAAGGAAAAAAGGAGGAAGATTGGCAACAGATGTTAGCTCAGGCCAATCTTCCTCAAAAAAAAAAAAATGAATATCAAAAAAAAACTTATTTCCCTCAGTTTAAAAATATGTTGAAGTTAGTATCATCTTGCCTAAAGAAAAAAATTTTCCGTTAATCCTACTTCCTACAGTTAAAGTATTATCTTTCCTTTGTCCAAAATTTTCTCTTTGTTATTGAAATTCCAAAGATGCAATAACCTCTCCACCATCAATAAGCCTTTCAAAATAGTTTTGGATCAGTGCTAATTTTCCTTGACCCTTGAAAAACATTCTTCATTTTTTTATCACTCTTTTCCTGTAAGCTAACTTATAATAAGCCATGTCTCTGTTTTTCCTCCTGGGATCAGTTCTCCATTATCCTCATTAGTTCCACGGCTTTCTACCCACAAAATAAGACTGTGCCCTAAAGCTTTGTCCTTAGCTCTCAGCCTTTATGGATCCCTACATTTTCCTGTAATAGCTTGGCTTCAACTATGACCTCAAGCAAATTACTACTGGATTTACATCTTAGACCCAGAACACTATTTATGAATTTTGGTTCTTCATTTCCAACGCCTGGTTGATATCTCTACATCAATACCCTGCCTCAAATAAAGATGACCAAACTTAACTTTCTACCAAAACCCTTTAAATGCCACCATTTCTGTTAACTATGTTATTTTTTGTCCCAGTTACCCAAATTCAAAATACTAGAGGAGTATTTGCTCACTTATTATTCTTCTCCTCCCACATTCAATCAGTTTTTTAAAAAAATCCTGTCAAATCTTTGCACTGTCTGTCCTTTGTGATGCAATGCTGATTGTAGGACTGCAAAACCAAGAGAGACTTGAAATCCCAGCTTCATGACTGACTACGTCTGATATTGAATAAGTTTCTAAACCTCCCTATATTTCTTTCTCTTCTTTGAAATAAGAGTAATACCTTTCCACATCAAAGGATATGATGAAGACTAAATAAGATATTTTCAGAAAGTCCTTCCCCATCCACCCTAGCTAAAGTAGCCCAAATCACTACCTCTTTGGTCCTATGTTACCACTTTATTTTCTTTTATTTAGAAATTAACACTATCTGCATTCGATGGTTGTTTTAATTTGGTTTTTTTTTTTGCTTACATTTTTATTTCCTGACCCTTTCTACTGGACTTCATTGAGAGCAGGACCTCGGTCATTATTATTTACCACAGAATCCAGAATAATCCCTCTCACTTACTAGGTGCTTAATACATACTTGGTGAAGGAATAAAATATATAAAGTGCCTACCACAACGGCTTTTACTGAGCATCTGACTTCTACTTTACACTGACTTCTTTCTTCTTTGCCACTGCTGTCTGTCTATATTAACCCTAATCACATCATTTCCGGCCTACATCTGTCTCCTAACTCCCATTAATCTGCTAGAAAAATATTCGATTAATCTCCTTTAAAAACTTTGTCCATACCATTTATTCATAGACCACCAACTATGAGAGAACCACTCTAATTTTCCTATTCAAACAACTTCAATAGATCTTCACTACATTCATTAAGAAGGCTCAACTCCTTGGTATGTCATCCAACGTTCTTTTCAATACCTCCCTAACTTCCCATTAATTCCTTAAATGAACCTTAGTCATTCTGATTGTCCTTAAGAGGGTCATGTATGTTCCTACCTTTGATTACACCATACCACACAACTAGAATTCTTAAATGAAATTCTTCCTTTAGGGCCCAGGTCAAGGCACCTGGACTCAAATACCACCTCATTTTTTATTTCCCTAAATTTTTTAAACTACTATTACAAAAGATTAATATACTTATCTTTAATTTTGAATAAAAACTGTATATAGTTGTAAAAAGTCTTTCAAACTCCTAACCTCTAGCCTTTCCATGCATAATTACTGTTCATTGTTTATATACCATTTCAGATGTGATCACTGGTCAAATAATTTTCTATTCTTCATCAGTTTTCAACATATATATATAGATTATATATACTTATAACACATTATAAACATTGTTCTCCAACATACTTTTTTACTTCCTATATCTTGTACGTGATTTTTCCTTACACCTGCAAAGTTAAACCCTCTTTTGAACTCTTTTATGATTTATTTGCTCTAACATTCATAAGCTATGAAGCATGTTTTCTTGCATGTTTTCTTATATTTTTATCTATCCATTTAAGTGTTTTGTAACCTCCAACTAGATATCAAGTGTCCCAATCACTTCTTTCAACATTTTAAAAGATCAACGTATAATGATGATTTGAACATGCCAATATCACCCAATTAATTGTTTAGGAATTGAGTATTTTTATTCCCTTCCATTAATAATCCAAATTGTCTTTTAAGGCATTGAAAAAAACAAACTATTTCTCAATGGAGTCATTCAAATATGGAAAACTTGAAAAAATTAGAGATCCACTTTCAATTTAAAAAAACAAATATTTTGACTCAACAAAAAACTTCTAGAACTAGGAAATGAGAATAGCAAGGTGGCAGACTATAAAATTAAATAAAAACATCAATGTATTTCTATATACTAACAACAACAATCCAAAAATGAAATTCAGAAAATGATTCCATTCATAATATCATCAAAATGAATATAATACACAGAAATACCTTTTAACAAAATAAGTGCAAGACTTGTACACTGAAAACTACAAAACACTACTGAGAGAATTAAAGAATATCTAAATAAATTGAGAGAGAGTTCACAATTAAAAACAAGAATACTCACTATTGTAAATATGGCAATTCTCCACAAATTGATCTATAAGTTCAATAGAATACTTATCACTATCCCAGAAGGAATCACTGTAGAAATTGACAAGCTAATCCTAAAATTCATTTGTAAATGCAAGGGATTCTCAATAGCCAAAGAAATATTGAAAAAGAAGAGCAAAGTTGGAGGACTCACATTTCCCTATTTTAAAACTCAACTACAAAGCTATAGTTATCAAGACTGTGTAGTACTGGCATAAGGATAGATATATAGACCTTTGGAACATAATTGAGAGTCCAGAAATAAACCCTTACATTTATGGCCAATTGACTTCTGACAAAGATATCAAGACAATTCACTGGAAAAAGAATAATCTTTTCAACAAATGGGGCTGGTATAACTGAATATCCACATGCAAAAAATGAACTTAGACCCTTACTTCACACCATGCATAAAAATGCATTCAAAATGAAACACGATCTAAATATCAGAGCTAAAATTATTAAACTTCTATAAGAAAACATAGAAGAAAAATTTTGTGACCTGGAATTAGGTAGAGTTTTTAGATACAACACCAAAAGCATGATTCATATAAGAAAATAATGCACAAATTTGACTTCATAAAACTCAAAACTTTTCTGCTTTAAGAAAACATTTAAGAAAAGGAAAAGACAAGCTATAGGCTGGAAGAAAATATTTGCAATTCATATATCTGATAAAGGACTTAAATCCAGATAACTACTCTTACAACTCAATAAGTCAAACAGCCCACTTTTAAAATGGGCAAAAGATTTGTATAGACCTTTGACCAAAGAAGATATATGCATAGTTAATAAGCAGATGAAAAGAAGCTTATCACCATTACTCATTAGGGAAATAAAAATTAAAACCACAATGAAATACCACTTCACACCTAGTAGAATGTCTATAGTGCAAAAGACTAAAGATACTAAGTGTTTACAAGGATACACAGAAACTGGATCCCTCATGAATCAATGGTTTCCACTTTTTAGAAAGCACTTCAGTTTTCTAAAACGTTAAACATAAACTTATCAACATCCCAGCAATTGCATTCCTAAGAATCTAGCCAAGAAAAATGAAAACATATGTCTACACAAAGATATGTAAGTATCTGTTCATAGCAGCATTATTCATAATAACAAAAAGTGGAAATAATCCAAATGTCCATCAATTGGTAAATGGACAAAGAAAATGTAGTATATACATTTAATGGAATATTACTCAGCAATTGAAAGGAACAAACTACTGATACACGCCAGAACAGGAAAGAGCATCAATAACATCACACTAAGTGAAAGAAGGCAGATGCAAAAGACTTCATATTGTATGATTTCATTTACATAAAATGTTTAGGAAAGCAAATTTATAGAGACAGAAAACAAATCAATGGTACCTAGGACTGGGGGTGGAAGTGAAAATTAACTGCAAGTGGGAACAAGGAAAACTTTTAAAGTGGTGGAAATTTCTAACATTGGATTGTGGACATGGTTATACAGAACAGTTAACTTACTAAAATCATTGAATAATACATGTAAAATGGGTGAATTTTATAGTAGGTAAGCTATACCTCCTTGAAGCAATTAAAACAATGAAGACCAAAAAAAAAAAAACCCACATATTTGTTTCTCTACAATTTAATACTTTTATGCTTAATAATTTTTATGCAGTAGACATACAAGCTTTTCTAAATTTTGAGATATAAGACATTACTAATATATTCACTAGTTTATTTTATATAAATGATACAAAATATTAATTTATATAATTTTGGTATAGAACTTAGAAGTTAAAATATTACTTCTATAAATTTATTTAAAATGAAACCCTAATGAAGCCAATTACCTTTTTCAAAGCAGTGCAGAATTCAAAGAAAAGGCGACAGTTATATGTTTTGAATCGTTCAGGAAGATGCCAGTTCTGAATTATTTCTTCATCAGAAATCACATGATGATCCAGTGCTTTGAGAGGCCATATACTGTTGACAAGAAAATGTCTATATTCTTTTTTAAGGCTTATTGGACAATCAAACATGGTGAGGGCAATGAGGCTTGGACAGGCAGATAACATATATATATTCTTTAACTTCGCAAAACCATTGTCATGAAGATAGAGGAGTTTTAGGTTCTTCAATTCACTCCAAAATTTGGTATCTGGTAGACTTTTTATCTGAAATATTATTAATAATAATAATTTAAGTACAAATACTAATTTTCTATAAATTGCATGGAAAATGAAAAAACATTAAATATCTAAAATTCAATATTTTCCCAAATGGCAAATTTCCCAATAATAAGCAAAAAGCAGAATTTCTAGTTATCCAATTGATGACTGAGGTAAAAACATAACACACTGGGCATCTGAAATAAGCTATGATTATTAGTGTAATTAAATGAATAAACAAACATACTTCATTCAGTAAAAATTACTTTGTAATATGCTGACTCTTTAAACTTTTCGAAAGTACTTTCCTGACATGGAGAATTAAGGAGACAAGTCAATCAATGTGATATACCACATTAACAAAATGAATGAGAAAAACCATATGATCATCAATAGATGCAGAAAAAGCATTTTATAAGATTCAATACCCATTTATGATAAAAACTCTCAAAAAATGGGTATAGAAGGAATGCACCTCACTAAAGGCCATATATAACAAGCCCACAGGTACCATCATACTTCGTTAAAAGCTGAAAGCTTTTCCCCTAAGGTCAGGAAGAAGACAAAGATGCCCATTCTCACCACTTTTACTCAACATAGTATTAGAAGTCCTACTCAAAGCAATTAGTCAAGAAAAAGAAATAAAAGGCATCCAAATTGGAAAAGAAGTAAAACTGTCACCATTTCCAGATGACATGATATTATATACAGAAAACCCTCAAGACTAGAAGTAATAAACGAATTCAGTAAATTTGCAGGATACAAAATCAATATACAAAAATCTGTTGCATTTTAATACACTATTAACAGACTATCAGAAAGATAAATTAAGAAAACAATCCCATTTACAAGTGTATCAAAAAAAAATAAAATACCTAGGAATAAAGTCAACCAAGGTGGCAAAAGATGTACACTGAAAACTGCGAGACACTGATGAAAGAAACTGAGGAAGACACAAATAAATGGAAAGATATTATGTGCTCAGAGACTGGGAGAATTAATTGTTAAAGTGTCCATATTACCCAAAGCAATCTACAGATTCAATGCAATCCCTATCAAAATTCCAATGGCATTTTTCACAGAAACAGAAAAACAACCTCAAAATTTATATGAAACGATAAAAGATTCCAAATAGCCAAAGCAATCTTGAGAAAGAAGAACAAAACTGGAGGCATCATGCTCCCTGATTTTAAACTATATTACAAAGGTATAGTAATCAAACAGTATGATACTGGCATAAAAACAGACACATACATCAATGCAACAGAATAGAGAGCCCAGAACTGAACCCATGCACATATGGTCAACTGATTTACAACCAATAAGCCCAGAATATACAGTGGGGAAAGGACAGTCTCTTCAATAAATGGTGTTGGGAAAACTGGACAACAACATGCAAAGAAAAAACCGGACCACTATCTTACACCATACACAAAAATTAACTCAAAATGGATTAAAGACTTGAATGTAAGACCTGAAAGTGTAAAATTCCCAGAAGAAAACATAGGCAGTAAGCTCCTTGACATCAGTCTTGGTGCTGATTTTTTGGATTTCACACCAAAAGCAAAGGCAACAAGAAGAAAAATAAACAAGTGAGACTACATAAAAATAAAAAGCTTCTGCACAGTGTTGGGGCCCAGGGGAGGCCACCCCAAAATATTCCACAATGGCATATGGAAAAAAGGCATTTTTACCCTCCTTTTTCTGTTCATCCTGAAACCAGGAAATAAATCTCCCATGTGAAAGGTCCTCTCCCTGCCTCCTTATCACCAGAGCTAGGGAATTCAGGGCCAAGAAACCTGTATAAACAAACCTCAATAATTTACGACCTCAAGCCTAAACTCTGTTTAAATTTCTCTCTTATTACATATCCCAAATCTAAGTTTCTTTGTCCTGTCATACCTCACAAATTTATGGTTTCTTTGTGGAAAAGATATATATATATCTCTATAGATATATATATATATCTATACGTATATATATATATCTCTATACGTATATATATATATATATCTATACGTATAGATATATATATACGTATAGATATATATATATATATACGTATAGAGATATATATATATACGTATAGATATATATACAGCCTGCTTTGTCCATTCTCTTAATATCATTTCTCTATGTTCTCCAATATGTACATATTAAAATGGATTTTTCTCCTGTTAATCTGCTCCTGTCAATTTTATTATTAGTCCAGCCACAGAAAGACAGAAAGGCGGAATTGCCCAATGTCTGACAACAGCAAAGGAGACCACCAACAAAATGAAAAGGCAACCAACCAAATGGGAGAAAATATTTGCAAATCATATATCTGAATAAGGGGCTAACATCCAAAATATTTATAAAGAACTTACACAACTCAATAGCAAAAAAAAAAAAAAATAATGCAATTAAAAAATGGGCAGAGGATCCAAGGAGACATTTTTCCAAAGAGGATATACAGAAGGCCAACACACACATGAAAAGATGCTCAAAATTCCTAATCATCAGGGAAATACAAATCAAAGCTATAATCAGATATAACCTCACACCTGTTAGAATGGCTGTTATCAAAAAGACAAGAAATAACAAGTGTTGGAAAGGATGTGGACAAAAGTGCACTGTTGTGCACTGTTGGTGGGAAAGTAAATTGGTGCAGCCACTATGGAAAACAGTACAGAGATTCCTCAAAAAATTAAAAATAGAACTACCACATCATCTAGCAATTCTACTCCCGGGTATTTATCCAAAGGAAACAAAACAATAACTCAAAAAAATATATGTACTCCCATGTTCACTACACCATTATTTACAATCATCAAGACACAGAAACAACCTAAGTAGTCCACCAGTGGATAAAAGGATAAAGAAAAAGTGTCACATATATATAATGGAATACTATTCAGTCATAAAAAAGAATGAAATCTTGTCGTTTGCGACAACATGGATGGAACTTGTGCAATCTGGAAAAAAAAAAATACCCAACTTATAGATACAGGGAACAGATTGGTGGCTGCCAGAGGCAGGGGGTGAGAGAAATGGGTGAAGGGGGTCAAAAGATACAAATTTCCAGTTATAAGATAAATAAGTCCAGGGGATGTAATATACAGCATGGTAACTATAGTTAATAATAATGAATTATATATTTGAAAGCTGCTAATAGAGTAGATCTTATAAGTTATCCTCAAAAGTTAAAAAAAATTTGTAACTGTGTGGTGACGGAAATTAACTGGACTTGTGGTGATCATTTTGCAATATACACAAATATCGAATCGTTATATTGTACACCCAAATTTAAAATGATTTTGCATGTCCATTATATGTCATTAAAAAGAGAATTAAGGAGTCAAAAAGTATTCTTAATCTAGATTATGGATTTAAGAAGTAAAATAAAGCAAATCACACAATGTCTGTTTATATATTTTTAATTAAAAATTTTTGCTTATATTTTAAATTTTGTGTTTATATACATTTTATATTTTTATTTATTTTTAATTTTGTGTATGTTTTATATAAAAGACCATCTGAAAGAAATATTGTGAATAGTAACTTTAGTGCTTATTAAATATCAATTTCATTTATATGCAAATATGTGAAATGGCTATTGCTTACCTGATTGCCATGGAGATCAAGTTTGACTAATTTTATACAACTTTTAAGTGGACAAATATCTGTAATAAAGTTGTTTGAAACGATGCATACTCTAAGAGAGATACAAGATTGCAAATTTTCCATAGATCTTAAATGAAGGCCACTGAACCTCACAAAAACAAAATCTTTCTGATCTTCTATCATGTTATCATTATAGTGACTCCATTCTTCATGATTGGTTAGCTCTTTTACAACTGTTCCATGAAACATCTAGGAAAAATGGGAAATTGCTTTCAAAAGATTTTTCAACTTCAAAAAAATATTTACTAATAGATAGTGAGAATAAAAATGGGTAGAAAAGTTACAATTAAAAAAATCTAATTCCCATAAAACCTTCCATCCCAAAACATCTTACATGTCTAACATTTATATAACTACAACTCAAAAATGTACCCTTCCCCTCACCAATGAACTAATATCAGTAGGAGAAAGAAAAACTTCCTTTTTCCTAGAATACTTATAGAACATGGAATTCAGTGAAATAATTGAGATAAAAACATCACCTCTAGAGAAGTCAACTAAAACAAACAAAACTATACCTTAGCATACCTGGTACAATAATTTTGGTTAAAAGATACTGTTAAAGAAAGAAATGCACTGAAAGATGAACTCCCAAGTCAGGAAAGTGATAACATTTGTGGGAGAGGCTTAAAAATGCAGCTAAATGAAATTAAGGTGCAAACAGGGCTTCAACTATTATAAATATTTATTTCTTAAAAAGATAATTTGCAATTACATTATTTATTTTTATGTTCAATTCAATTAGGCAATTAAGATTGAGAATTCTAATAGTTTCAAAATCTGACTAAGTTTATCTAAAACTTCTGAATGAAAGCTTTTTTACATAAAATTATATAGTATTTCTCATATATATGAAATTTCCCTTACTGTGGGTAATTTCAGCTTCATAAAAGGGAGTCACCCAGGCATAGTTTAGATGAGAATATGAGCTCAAGTGGCCTGAGGGTGTTTGGAAACATTAACCACTTTCCTCATTGGAAGACTCTATTTCTACCATGTGGAGGTAGATCAGCATAATCCAAACAAGAATAAATGTGAAAATCCAGATAAATCCTTGTACTCTTTCAAGATAATGGTTACTTTTTATATCTTGACCAAGGCCTAAAACTATAATCCTCAAACTCTAAGTATCACCAAAGAAATTAGTTAAAAGGCAGATTCCTGGGCCCCATATCATAACTACATTATCACAGTCTCTGGGCTGAGGGCCAAGGAATCTGTAATTTAGCATGCACCTAGGTAACTGATGGACATCTTGAGAAAGACAAGCCTAAACTACACGTAAAACACTCTTCAAAACATAAACAGCCAGAAAAGGAACAAATAGATATGAATAAACCCTTACAAACTGAATAAGCTCTCCAGGTTCTGAAATGAAGGGTCATGTCCAGAATGCATCCCATCATTAAGACTCCTTATTTAGAAAAGACCTTAAGAAGTCTTTCCTCAAGATCTCCTTTCAAAGACCTACTTTTCAATTTTGGTCTAATATACTCTAACGCTAAGGGCTTATGAGAGACCTTATCTAAGGCATAAATCATGATGTTTCAAGACAAACAATGGGGTGTTCAGAAGTTTCAGCTATTGAATCCCATTTTTGAAGTCAGTAACAATTCTGCAAGAAATCTGCAAGGTGAGAGTCATATACCAAACAAAGGTTTTCTTCCTTTCTTTTTTTTATAGCCAAACAATTTTTTTTTAATTAATAGACTTTATTTTTTGGAGCTATTTTAGGTTTACATAAAAATTGAGGGAGTACACAGAGTTCCAATAAACTCCCTCACACCCTCCTCCATACATAGTTTTCCCATTAACATCTTGCATTACTGTAATTTATTTGTCACAACTGATGAGCCTATCTTAATGCATTATTATTAACTAAAGTAAAAGTTTTTTAGCTCAGAAACTGATAACAAAATCTTTGGATGACCAACATACATCAACATCGTAGCAAAGATCCTATTTCTTCACTTAAAGCTGAAGCTGACTTGATATCTTTCATTACTGCATTGGTACATAAGTGTGTATATATATATATATACACACAATATTTTTTACATATACATATATATATCAAAAGAAGATATATTTATAAAATCTTTTACTTCAAGCATTCATTTCTCACACTGATAATTCCATCTCTAATAGTTTATTTTGATATTTTCTGTAGAAGATGTAATCTTCTTTGAACTAAGTATAGTTATTAATATGTATAAACTCAGCAACAAGCAATGAAAGATTTTTATTTTAAAATTTTATGGACTAACACTATCCATGTGTCATTTGACCCTGATGTCAATGATCTACTACTCGAATTATTCAAAAGTAAATTTTTTTCTATTTCCTTTACTGATATCAGACATACAAGATAATTTGACTAAATGAAAGATTTTGCACTTAGTGAAGCATTCTAACTTGAGCTATTAGTTGAACAATCTTGTTACTAGCTTTGTGAAGTTAACTGATAGTGTTTTAAGCGTTTTCATAAGATAACACTATTCCTTTCTCCAAAATGCTTAAATATGTTTAATTTTTTTCTTTATAACTCCTAGTGAGGGAGTTGGTGTGATAGGCATTATTGCTTCACTTGAAAACTTTGCTTACAAATAAGACATACAGTCTGAGGAAGAAAAAAATTATTAGGTCACACAAATCCAAATCTGAGATAATCTTCAAAATACTACTTAATGAATGCCTTTTTATTTATTTGGGACAATTACTTCCTAGTTTTAATCAAAAAGATGCCAATTATGGGGGAAAAATCCTCTTTAAGAATTAAATACTCGAGTGATGATAGAACTCTAAAGTTTTATGGCTTCAGAATTTTAAAAAATGTAGGTTGCCCAATCGTTTTATGTTTAAAAGCAAATCCCATGAAAACAATTAAATTAACATGTGGTAAAGAAAAATGGGAGTGTTGGAATAATTTTTAATTAATTCAATAATTAACATTCCAAACAATTAATAACAGTTGCTTCTTAGTTAATGAAATATGCTGAACTCTGCTATCTAAGGATGTCATACTTCTTTCTCGGTGTAACCCTCTTCAGCAAATCATTGCCTAGCTGACTCTTAGTCATTATTTAGATTCCAGTTTTATGCTTACATCTCCAATTTAGTAATTATATATTTATATGTTATATAATTTAATTATTCTCTTTTCAACTAAATTACATGCACTCTGAGGACAGGACACTTATTTTGTAGTTAGCTATATATTTTTCATAGCTAGCATGAGACCCAGAATTGAATCAGATTTCAATCAATATATTTTTTCATACATGTAGCTGGCTATCATTTCCTTTCCTCAGAAAAATAGTAAACTTTGGGGAAGAAAAGTTTAAGACTTCGACTCTTGGATAACTAATAGGTCAAAGAAGAAATTAAAAGGGAAATCAAAAAAATAACTTGAAACAAATGAAAATGGAAACACAACATACCAAAACTTATGGGATGCAGTAGAAACAGTTCAAAGAGGGAAGTTTACAAAGATAAATGCCTACATTAAAAAAAAAATCTCAAAAAAACAAACTAACTTTACACTCCAGGAACAAGAGAAAGAACAAACTAAACTGAAGTTAGCAGAAGGAAGTAAATAACAAAGACAAAACGAGAAATAAATGAAATAAAGAATAGAAAAGAAGAAAAGATCAACAAAACTAAGGGTTGGTTTTTGAAAGGATAAACAGAATTGGCAAACTTCTAGCTAGACTTAAGAAAAAAAAGAGAGAAAAAAGAGAGAGGACTCAAATAAAATTAGAAAGGAAAGAAGAGACATTACAACTGATTCCACTCAAATACAAAGGATCATAGAGAATACTATGAACAATTATACCCCAACAAACTGGACAACCTAGAAGAAATGGATAAATTCCTAGAAACATACAATTTACTAAGACTTAATCATGAAGAAATAGAAAATCTGAACAGACCAATTACTAGTAAGGAGACTGAATCAGTAATCAAAAACCTCCCAACAAAGACAAGGCCAGGATCAGATGGCTTCACTGGCAAATTCTACCCAACATTTAAAGAAGAAATACCAACCCTTCTCAAACTATTCCAAAAATCTGAAAAGGAGGGAACACATCCAAACTCATTTTACAAAGCCAGCATCACCCTGATACCAAAGCCAGATAAGGACACTAAAGAAAAAAAATTACAGGTCAATATCCGTGATGAATATACATGAAAAACTTCTCAATGAAATTCTAGCAAATCAAATTCAACAGGACATTAAAAGAATCATACACCATAATCAAGTGGGATTTATCCCTGGGATGCAAGGATGGTTCAACAACACAGATCAATGAATGTGATACACCACATTAATGGAATGAAAAATAAAAATTATATGATCATCTCAACAGATGCAGAAAAGACATCTGACAAAATTCAATATCCTTACATGATAAAAACTCTAATCAAAGGGGGAATAAAAGGAATGTAATTCAACATAACAAAGGCCATATATGACAAGCTTACAACTAACATCATCTCAATGGTGAAAGGTTGAAAGATTTTCCTCTAAAATCAGGAAAAAGACAAAGGTACCCACTCTCACCAATCCTATTCAACATAATACTGGAAGTCCTAGCTAGAGCAATTAGGCAAGAAAAAGATATAAAAGACACCCAAATAAGAAAAGAAGAAATAGTATTGTCTTTGTTTAGAGATGACATGATCTTATATATAGAAAACCCTAAAGACTCTATCAAAAAAACGATTAAAACTAATAAATTCAGCAAAGTTGCAGGATACAAAATCAACATACAAAAGTCAGTTGCATTTTATATATACTAACAATGAACTATCTGAAAAAGAAATAAAGAAAACAATCCCATTACACTAGCATTAAAAAGAATAAACTACTTAGGAATAAATTTAACCAAGGAGGTGCAAGATCTGTACACTGAAAACAATAAGACCATTAATGAAAGAAACTGAAGAACAGACAAATAAATGGAAAGATATCTTGTGTTCATAGATTGGAATAGTTAACATTCTTAAAATGTCCATACTACCCAAAGCCCAAAGCCATCCACAGATTGAACGCAATCCCTATCAAAATCCCAATGGCATTTTTCACAGAAATAGGAAAAACAATCTTAAAATTCATATGCAACCACAAAAAAAATCCAAATAGACAAAGCAATCTTGAGAAAGAACAAAACTGGAGGTTTTGAAAT